GTTTTCTTGTGCCCAATAATGCATAATTTCATTTGATAAACACGTTTAGATTGAATGGTAATTTATAATCAGTCACAAGAACGTCGAATCTGAATCACTTGAAAAAAACACGGGGGTGCTTAACTTTTTTCCAGGTGTATATATACAGTTTTCACATTAAGTTCAATTTTAGGCAACACCGTTGACCTCTAAACCACACTTAGCTTGCACCCCAATATGTGCAAGTTCTCTTGTCTAACTTTTGAATTTGCACCAAGTTTCAACCCTTTCTACAAATGATACATAATACATTAGAAAGTAACTAGTAGCATTGGTCTTCTTCTTGAATGATGCCCACTGTCAAGGTTTTGTATAGGGCTGCAATTCTTTATGGTAGGTGTCTGTGACTTGTTGGTGATAAATTCAATAATAAACAGACAGCAGACAATCCACTTGTTTCAAAATAATATATTCAAAACAAGCGAAATGTATGTACAAAAAATTCTTTACAGTATTGGTTATCACAGTTGAACTGAGAGCTTTAAATAATTATCTTCTTTTGTCCAAAGTCCAAAGAGGCTGGTTCGGTTACTTTAGAATCCAATTGAAAAGACAAATTATTCTTCTCTATCTCTGTTATTACAATACAAGCTGTGATACATTCACTTTAGAAATCGCCCATTACGGCTAAACTGACAATCACGCAGTCTAACTTCACGTTTACTTTCATTAACCTAACTTAATTCTATATCTATACCCATTTATATAACTGGGAAAATCACGGAAAAACCTAGAAATATCTTTCTCTAGAGTAACTATAATATTAAACTTAACAATATAATATAGAAGCTTCAAAAAAGATGATGTGAACAATATTACAAAAACCTAGTACAACAATCAAACTACATACACACGACTCATACAGAGTTACATCACAAAACTTGTCATAACTATCGATTTTAAAATTGTCAACTTTCAACACTTTTTTATGAAAATTAAATAATCATTAAGAATTAAATCACTAAATAATAATTCTTAAGCTGAACAGTCTTGTATATCCAACACCCACTGATTTCTGTAACATGGGTAGAACTTCCCACTACCAACCTATGATAGGTGGTAAAGTCACTGGAAAACTGTTGATAGCCACCTTACTACACCCATATACATAGTTCAATCAGCTATTGTAAATATTCATTTTAAGTTCATAAAGTATCAGTTAAATGAATTTGAATTGACTTTAATACGCAGACAATGGGAACTATCTAAAACGCAAGTATTTATGGCAAATCAGCCTTTGCAAAGACTTAACTCAGTGGTCTTTAAACTTCCTGGATTTATGGAAGGTCCCTCTCAAACAGCTTAGTCGAGATAGGAGGGAGGAGTCTTTTAATCTCTATCCAGCTCACCTTAACACTAAGCATACAGTAAACATTTGTAGGATTCTATTCCTAGCTTAAAACAGACTTTAGACCATTTGTCAATAATTGTTTTAAAAACTAGTTGGACTTGGTTGTTTAAGTTTTAGTACATGCCCCCCCCCCCCAAACTGTATTTAATGTAAGATACATATATCCACTTTACTAAGCATGATCACTGCTTATTTGATACATATAAATAAAATTGTGGTAAAAAGATTATTATATAACCTTTTTTTACTTGATTAGGTTACTTGCATAACAGCAATTATATTTTAGGTAATGCAGTTTAGGCTATGCTGGTTTCAAAATGACAAAATAAACAGTGGTATTTTTGGAAATAAACTTAACGTATTTTTAGTTAAATATAAATGGACTAAATTCAAACAAAAGCAACATAACATACCATTTCAAAGCAAGAACTGTTAAAATGACTAGTGATATACACTGTAAAAATAAGTGTTAATAAGTAAAAGGTTAAATTGATATTACAAAAACACGAGTGTTAATAATTTTAAAATCACAATTGAAAGAGTATATCTTAGCTCAATAAATAACACAATAGTGTTAAAGTGTAAACCGCTCTTGCGTTAGTCTTGTGATATAACATTAAACTTTATTTTTCAAATGAGATTTTCATAAATTAATAACCTATATAACTAATTTTATTCTTTTGAGGCTGTTTCATCATCTTGTTTTCTCTCTCCATCTTTTTGAATAAATTTTATAATTGCATTAAAATATTATTAATTGTATATTATTTATATAAATGAACAGAATAATAATTTAACAACACATTACGAACTTTGTTGATGTTTTTGAATACTTTTCTGTGATCTACTGCGACACAAATTATCATTCATTTCGTTAGAAAATTTACATCTTTGCGTGACTTTGAACAATTAAAAACATTGGTATTAACTTGTACTGGATCTAATTAACAGCAACGTTTGCCTCTTATCGGAAATGCGATGCCGCAGAAAAGAGTTTATAAAACTTAAAAGATTCACCTATCGCCTTTGTAGCGTCATTCAATGTTACAGTGGTTAACAAAGAAAGTTAGTAAATCGCCTGAACTAGTGGCATAGCTATGCCAATGCAGTGGCATTGGGGCCCGCATCTGAAAAGAGCCCAAACAGGAATATCAATAATAAAAACACTGAAAATATATATAAACATTTTCGCACCTATGCGACATTTGTTTTATAGGTTGAAAAAACTGCCAAAAGATGGCGCAAAAATATCAGTTGTGGCACTTGTGTGTCTCGAAGTTGTTGTGTATTAAAAGTTGTTATAGTCTTTTGTGTTAATTGAATATAATGCTCATTATAGTGTTTTCTATATATTAAAGAAATAAAATGTAGGCGTTTGTATTAT